TGTTTGTTTGTTTGTTTGTTTGTTTATCATGTTTAGGAACCATCCGTCTCCCTCACGGGGCAACTCTGGACAGTGTATAAGTAAGACATAAAAACATAAAAGCTGTATATAAATATTACATTAGGAGGCAATTCAAACAAAAGTAGAATAATTAAATTAAAAATTTAAAAGGAGGGCCAGGTCTTCAACTACTAACTAGTCCCATGACAGCATGTTGTTCTTCACGCCTCAAGCAAAATGACATAGCCAAGTTTTTTGACATTTTTGAAAGGCCAGGAAGTCTCTGGAAGGAGGTCTTCCAGAGGGTGGAGACCAGGGATGGATTCCTCAACTGGTTAGTACTGGTTTGCTGCGTGTGCACTTTGCGCATGTGCATTTGGCTAAAAATTGTGAAGAACCATGCCGGCAACGGCAGATAACACCAGAGAACCGGTTTGGGGGTGTGTCAGGCCCGGGTTGTTGCCGGTTCTGCGACCCAGGCCTGACTTCCACTACTGGTTTGGCTGAACGGGGCCGAACCAGCAGCAACCCACCCCTAGTGGAGACAATGGCAGAGGAAGGTCTCCCCCTGGAATCACAGGATCCACAACGCACCTTTCCTGCTTGACCAGGTGCGATGGGCTGATATAATAGGGCAAAGATGGTTCCACAATTAACCTGGCCTCATGCCATGTAGGGCTTTAAAGGTCATAAGCAACACCTTGAGTTGGACCCAGAAGCAAACCAATACCCAATACAGCTCATGTACTAGAGATGTTACATATGTTGTCCTTGAGACACCCAAGATTGTTTGCGCAGCCATTTTATGTACCAGATGAAACTTCTAGATACTTTTCAAGAGTAGTGTCATGTAAAGCATAGTGCAGTAGTCCAGACAAGAGATGGTCAGGGCATGAGTGTCCAATGGAAAAGCCTCCCTGTGCGTAGCTAGTGCACAACCAAAGTTGAGCAAAGACCCTCCTAGCCATGGCTGCCATTTTCTTTGAGCAGGAACTGTGAACCTCAGAGAACCCCATATTATGTACCAGGTCTGTGAGACACGAGAAGTTCTTCAGAATCTTTTCAAGATAAAAGTTATTTTGCAGCACATCTGAAATAGTTGATTCTTGCCACCTGTCATATCAAAAAGAGTTGCAAGACTTAAAGTTCGGCTATCTATTCAGCCCCTGAAATCAATGGTGGGTGCATCTCTCACTGTTGCAATTGCATTGCAAAGAGATTCGTAGCATCTCATCTTCACAACATTGATGCCATGTTATGATTCACTAAATAGGACAGTTTAAGAACATGCTGCTAGTAGGAAGCTGTTATTTTGCATTCAATATCCTTCATTCTTGGAATTTCACATGAACTTTTAGCCTCCTCTTTTTCCACTATTGTTTTAATTTGTTTTCTTATCAAACATAAAATCAATTAAAAGGGAGGAAATGGAACACATATGCAATATCTTTTAGTTAGTAGATAAGGAGCTTTCTTATGCACCTAACACCTGTGCCCAAATCTACTGAACTTCCATTTTGCTAATTATCAAATCGATGTCAGTTCAAAACTGAGTGGTGAGTTTAAGAGTCAAAGGAAAGCAGCACATCTTTTACCATGATTGTTTCATGTAAAACCTAAAAATATTTAATTTGTTTCTCTGTTCTGCCCAACCAGGCCAAGAATTTCCTCAGTCCAGAAGATCTACTTAAAGGAGAAACAGAAGAAAGTCTGAATAAAGTTCAGAAAGCTTTTAATGTTTTTGACTACTTTAAACAAATTTTTGAAGAAAGAAGAGAACATCTTAACAATTATTTCCAGCCAGGACAAGAAGTAAAGCAATGGGATTTTCCTCCTGTAATGGTTTTTGCACAACTGAATAACTTCCTAGAGAGGCTTCATGTAGTACATGTAAGTACTTTGCTATGAAAAATAGAACAATACAGAAGCAATGTATTTTCTTTCCTGCAACCAATTTCCAATATTTTTCTTGATCCTTTGCTTTAATGGCTAAAACTGTAGATTTAGAGCCTTTTCACAATTGTGTCTGACTATGAAACAATCGTGATGGCCCGACTTCCTGTTGATTATTTAGACTGGCTCAGTGATGCTCCCTCCCATGAGGTCTTTGGGTATGACCTTCAGGACTATTCTGGTTTGAGCAGCAGGGAAGTTCGAACCAGAATTCCTCCTTATAGTTATCGTGTCTCCAAACTGAAATCAGATTTAGAAACATAGCTTTAAAAGAAGGATAAGCACAACTAAGACTTGATTGGGAAAGCTTACATGGTGAAGGAGGAGAGAGTACATTGTTTCACTCTGCAACCCCTCTCTTGCACTGGTGACTTGTTGCTTAGATACTTTTTGAATATGCATTTAACCCTTTTCTGAAAATTAATTCTGTGTTCAAAAGGAGTTGGATTAATAGAAGTCAGCTCCATGGCGAAGCACAGAAAGATTGCTGGCTTGTTTCTGGCTTTATCAGGCTGCTGCTGCTTCTCCCTTCACTAGTCAACTGTCCATTGGCTCAGACCTGCAGCTGGTTCCTTTTGGCCCACCACACTAATATTCTATTCTGCTATGCTGTTTCATCAGTGGGGAATTACGGGAATTGTGGGGAATTTAATTATCCTTGCGAAGAATTCATCTGGGATTCATCTATTTCTTTTAAAAATTATGATAATATTTTCTAATAGTAATTTACTAATTTTTATTGCTAGGCAGTAAACTATTGTGTTTTTGCACCTGCTGATATAGTAAAATGGATACAAATAGAGGAAGAATTTATGTTCGGTGATAGTACATGTTTCATGACAGCACCCATTTACAAAACAGTGTGCTAATCTGCTTTGGGTGTTAAAATGTTATGAGTAATTGGCTGAGCAATTTTGGCTTGAGAGGTGTTGCATTTGATAGCCTGGATGGTAAAAAAAAATATGGCAATGATAGCTTGATTCTATAAGGGGAATGCAAGCATCATTTTTTAAAAAAAGTCTTATAATATTGCTGTAAAATAGGGGTGTCAAACTCAAGGCCCGGGCCCCTCCCGAATCCGTTCCACAGGGTGCTTAAATCTGGCCCACAGGACCACTGTGGAAACAGCAAAGGACTGGCCCATGGTGCCTCTGCCCGTGAAAACGGAGCTCGGGAGGGCTGCATGTGGCCCTCCTGATCTCCATTTTTGCTGGCAGAGAGTTGCAGGAGGCCGTCACCACAAAAAATGGAGCTTGGGAGCTTGTTTTCTCTGCCAGATCGCTTGGGCCACCAGAGGCGTCACCAACACGAGTGACGGTAAGCTGGCCACGCCCACTCTGGCCACACCCACTCCAGCCCCCCCCAGGTCAAACACAACCCTGATGCAGCCCTCAATGAAATCAAGTGAGACACCCCTGTTGTAAAACATACTTTATGTTTTTCTGATACTATGGCATTTGTACAGTGTTGACTAAAAATTCTTAGTACTCTAATGTTTAAATACCATTAAAAGTACAAAAAATAAGGTATTGTATCAGTATTAATGAAGATTTAAAATGTCAGTGTTGATAGGCATTAGATTAATTAGCTTTGTATGCAGATTCAAATATAAAATTAAAAAAAAACTACAGCAAAGTATATCACAATACTTTTCCAGTAAGGGTTTCTGCTTAATATAAGGTCTCCACCATATTCTTACTTATTAGAATGTAAGACTGTTTTTAATTGGTTGTATACAACTTTCCAAGACCCCGCCCCTTCTTACAAGCAGTGGTTACTTGTTTGAAGTTTAGCTTATTGGCCCTTATCTAGTCCATTACAAATCTAGGCACTTCTATTACCTTTTCTGATCCAGATGGAAAGAAACAAAGTTTTTTGATTGTTATTCAAAATTCTAGATGATAAGGTAGAAAGAACACTGTGCGGTTTTAAAGAGAACAATATTTCCCCAACTGGTGCCTTTTAGATCAACATATTAAAAGCTTCATTATGTGAAAATACCCTTTGTAAGCATAATACAATAAATATGGTTAATGCATAGATTTTAGCCTGCAGAGTCAACATTGCTAGTGCTACTTAGGTTTAATCTGTAATACTTATGTTTATGTAGTACTTTATATTTAGTACTTATGTTTAGTCATTGAGTCCCAATACGATGCACCTGTAGGAAGTTTTTATAATGAATTCCTACCTCTTGGCAAAATCTGCCCAATAAAAGTGAAATAACATATCTACTATTATATCAAACTATTAGAGGCAGAGGAAACAAACAATAAAACATGGATAAAAATCCATATTTAGAGTTGGACCTGCCTGTTTTATTCTGAGAAAATTTGACTTTGTTAGCAGCGTTGTAGTGTACTTGTAAAATATTCGTGCCATTTATTTATTATAATTTTTATGTTTATATTGTATTTGTTTCCAGCAGAGACAGCATTCTATGGAAAGTGCGGAGAGCCATTAAAGAGAAAGGCAACAAATTAGAGGATTTCTGTTCCATATGTTTGTGTGTGTGAGTGTGTGTGAGTGTGTGTGTGTGTGTGTGTGTG